GATCCCGGCCGCGGGACGGGCGAGATCCGGGGCGGGGGGCGGCGGAAGGGAGAGGTGATTCCCTTATTCCCTTCCCCGGAGGATCCCCTTGGGAGGGCGGATATCCAGGAAGAGCGACTAGTCCTGAGGGGGGACCCGGTCCCCGGGGAAGGGCTCAGGCCCCTTTGTGTGTCTGTGTGTGGGAGGGGGAGATAATCCCGCCTTGTAGTAATGTGGGACAATGCGCTTCTCCGGTGCCCAGAAGGGGTGATCCCATCCCCAGCTGTATCCAAGGATCTCCATGGACCCTGCCTCGGACTACGTCCGGATCCCCGATTCCAGAGGCAGGGGAATGGGGTGATCCCAGCCCTGGGAGAGCTGGTGGCGAAGCCTGTTGCCATCTCTGCCACAGTGGGGACTTTGTGCCGAGCTGGGGCCATAGCTCTCCCTTACCCCCCAGCAAAAATAAAGTGTTGGGGGTATCGCCCTCAGGGCAGCAGTTTGGAGGGGGATTGTTTTATTCCTGCCTTTGTCTGTAGGAATTTAACCATTTTAAAAACTCGAGTGAGTTTGTGACTGAGCCCTGTATCACAGAGGATGAGCGAAACGGTTTGTAAATGAAAGTCGTGCAACTAAGGGGATTTAAAAAAATCACTGAACAACGTGCCAGCGATTTGGAGGAAAAGCCTCATTTCCCTCTTTCTCGTCCAAGAGGGTTTCGGTGCTTTTCCTCCTCTGGAGGGGAGGCTGTCACCGGTCCATTCTTCTCTAGCAGCCCACAAAACTAGTAGCTGGCACTAGTTGCTTCTAACATTCTTTGTCTTTCTCCATTTCTGTTCTTTCTCATTTCCTTGTGCCCCCAACCAAAGCAAACCTCTTTAAACACATCAGAAATTACAAGGAAATACAGATAACCCTTATATTCACTCTCTGGCATTTACTCTCCTAGTTCTTTCTACTTCACCTGGCCTGTGCTCTGAGATCTTTGCTGCTTGTTTGATAAAATGGCAAAGGGATCAATGTGTTGGAGGTGCAAAATAGGTGCAGCACAGGTGGTAAAAGCAGGCGGACATCTGCTCTTCCCCACGTGCCTCAGCAGCCTCGTGGCTTCATCAGCCATGGTCAGGCCTTTCTTGGGTTTTCTGTGGAAACAAAATAAAGTGTTCCAGCTGTGGCCCTGTTTTCTCTCCTTTTCTGGTTTGTATGAATGGAGAAGAGCACAGATTAACTGTCTCTATTATTCAGGGTAGATTTCATTTGAAAAGGAGAAGATTAAAATAAACTGGTAACTTATTGCCAATTAAATCTTCTCCCAGTAATTTCCAGTAATCTAAGCACTCAATGACCTTGTTATGAATTCATTCATAGATTGCTGTGAAGCCTCATTTCATGTCACTGTCTCCTACTTGTGAAATCGATCAGGTTTGTACTGGAGTTTGTACCGGAAGAGTTTTCCCCACTCTTCTTTCTTGGCATCTTGCAGTGAACTAATACGTTCACGTTACACATGAATCTTGTGGTGACATCTGTAATCGGTTCAGTGAATGCTTTCCTTCCCAAAAGTCTGAAATTATTTCAATTTTGGCAAAATTTGGCTGCTCATGCTGACTTTTTTTCTTTTTTTCTTATGAGTCTTTTTCTGCAGCTTATAACTTCATTGACAGACTTTAGAAAAAGCTTTTCTGTTTTCAAGAGTTAGACTAGAGGAAGAAAAACTTTGTCTTGTTTAATATTGCAGTTTTTGTCCTGTTTTCCAGGAGAAAGCAGAAAGTGGAATGGAGAGTTAACCTATTCTAGTACTTGTAGCACAGGCTTCCCACTTAGTGTATGTTCTACCCTACAATGAGAAAATACATCTTCATATATGTTTGCAAAATGTGCAAAGGGTTTGATGCAAAATAATGAAATATGTTAGTTAAATTTTCTGTGCATAGTGGTGAGACAGTAAAAAAAAAAAAAACATAGCAGATAAAGACTCCTTCAGTAATGTTATCCGCTCCTTGTATTTAACGGAGCAGAAATCTTGGGAGTGTGAAAAACATTGTTATCCATTTTCTCGGTATATTTGTAAAGTCTATTTGCCAAATGAGTAAATAAGCATTTATACCGAGTTAAATTGCTCAACTACATTTTATGTTTATAATCTGAATGCTGTTTTAGTGTAGCCTTCTTAGTTTTATTTGTAGCTGAGCGCATCATTATCCAAACACTTGGAACTCCAAAAAACTTGCCACTGTTTCAGGCCTCTCTTTTCTGTCTGTATCTACCGGGATTGTTCAGTCTGGAATGACAGAGGGTCTCTTCTCTTGGGCCTAGTGATCACAGCTTGCAAGGGCTTGGACACACAATTTTGTGTGTGTTGTGGAATCCCTCCCATGTGAATGCCATAGGCATTCACACAGTACTATTAGATGTCTTCTGCATATATGCCTGCTGCTTAAAGGTCTACAACTGCCCTCAAAGCAGCATAGGTGTGTGCAGGATTTGAGGCTTCAGTGCATGCCAGCAGCGTGGTAACGTCATCAGTGTTTGCATTTTGAGTGGGAAGAAATCAGAAGTTCCTGAAAGTCGCCCACCTTCTCGAGCCTTGCCTGAGAAGCTGAAGTCTGCTTTGCCTCTGTGGTTGCCTGAGGAACTGAAACTGCACTGTAATACAGTAGAATTTGCTGTTTTTTGGTCCCGAGTAGGCAGTGTTACCTGCCCATCATGAGCTTGTGGCAGCTGGCAGACTTCTTGGAGAAAAGTTGCAGCCCAGCCTTTGCGTTCAGTGACAAGAGCTTTACCTGCAGCTTCTGCTGTTGTTGCCTCCTTTGCTTTGTGTGGATTGTGAGCTACCGAAAGCAGTCATGCACCGCAGCACTGCGGTGAGCCTTGTGAAGGTGTCTAAATCACAAGCACTGTACCCTAGAGAGCAATAAACGTGACTTACTACTTTGCTAGAGATATGGAATAATTATTCACTTGCAGGAAGTGCGTTTGCATGGCAGGACTGGGGGAGCTGAGGGTCTTTCGCTCCCGTGGGAGGAGACCTGCACTCCTGAAATGTCTTTCACTGTTTAGACTTTATTATTTTCTTTTGCTTTATATGCAATCAAAGCTATGTAGCTTTTCTCTGGCTCCTCCTGAGTAAGGAAGAAGCTGGTCCAGAGAAAAAGTTTTCTTTTTTTTTTGTTTGTCTTTTTTTTTTTTCCTTTTAGTGACGATGAGAAAGCTGGATGTCTTTGGCTTTGCTTTTTTTTTTTTTTTTTTTTTTAAGTAAGTGACAGAGATATATTTTTGATGCTTGAAACTGTAATATTTGAACTCTTCAAGAGTTTGTGGTGAACACTTGTATTAATCATAAAAAAAAACTCCTTAATTAGAGGTGAGAGTCTGCAGACACTTTGAGAAATCACTTACTCTTTTCCTATTCACACCTTTAGGAACTTAGTTTCTGTTTGTGTATATGCAAACCCTTAGGCTCCTAAGATTGTCATAATGGATTTTTTTATAATGTGAATCCTGTAATGTGACAGAGGCACAGAAAGTAAATTGGGGAAGAGCCTGACAGATCTGGGCCTTGAATCAGATCCATATGTATTTATGTGATAAAATGCTTGGGTTTTCTTTGTTTAGCTTGGGCAATGCTGATGCTGTAGGTATGATTGCTACAGGACACATCCAGTCTGTTTTCCAAAGTGGTTATTAGCTGTCCTTTCCAGTTGCTTGCTTTTTCCCTGACAGCATTTCATCTTTCTTTGTAGCTTGACTACCTTTCTAAAAGTAGAGGGAGGAAGATCTTGAGGGTGATAGGGCTTTTTGAAAGTTATAGGAGTTCTCTTGAATTTGGGTTTTAAGTGCTTCATAAAAGCAATGCAATAGAATATAAAGTAATAGATACCACTGCTTGTATGTCTCAAAATAGACCTTTAGAATGAAGATAGTGGTGGAGGAATCAAGCAATTATTTTTAAGAAGATATTAATGGTAAGTCTTGAGAGACTTGAGAGTGCCTATTACTGTAAGCCATAACACATGCTTCAGCAAGGCATAGATATAGGGGAAGCTTTTTTTTTCCTTCTTCTGTTTTCTTTTTTGGTGCTTCTGTGCTTCGTCGCTTTCAAACAGGATTTATAGTTAAGTGACAAGAGAGAATAATGCATTATCATTAATATTTTCTAAATGTTTGTTTACACTGCTGGTCTGGAATGGAGGGAAGCTTATGGAAAGGATCTGCATCTGATTGGAATATTTAAGCTTTCAGTTGCCCCATTCTTAGGTAATGACTTATTTAGCAGTAATGCATATTTAGCAGAAGGGTTGAATTAGTAATTACTGGTTCATATTTCTGCTCTATGGATTTGGCCCTTATCCTTTTTAAGGTTGATTTTCATGCAGCTGATTACATTTGGGCTAAATGTAATCTGAAATCCTGTCTGTTTCAGTGATGCCTCTTCCAAGACAAAGTGTTGGCTGTTGCCAGAGGCAATCCCCCGTTCGGGAGGGGAACACTTTTGGAAATCGGTTCCTACGTGGCATCCCCCTGCTTAGGGAGACAAGTGGGTTTCGCTGGAGCGGCTGGCTGCAGTCGTAGGGGTAATGCAGTGACGGGGGTACCCAGCACGCTGTGTACCGAGGAGCTCTTGGAACCAAAGCCTTTAGGCTTGCAAAGATGGTTGAGGTTTGGTGACACCACTAATGGGGAAGCTTGGAACTGCTGAGTCAGGAGATCACTTCTCGTGCAGCAGAACAACAAGGTATTTTTCCTGTTTATGACCAGACTTAGAATCATATCATTATGGTTGGAAAAGACCTTCAAGATCATCAAGTGCAACTATACACGTGAGGAGTAAGTGTATGGTATTGGAGTAGTATATATTGGAGTAGTATGTTTTCCTATTTCATTACCTGTAAAAAGTATAAGGTACTCATAGTGTCTCTCTGTTTGCTTGCTCTTTTTCTTAACGCTACAAGGTGCGTCACCCAGTCATCTGTGTCAACAACCATGTCTTCTGTTCCATTTGTATTGATGTGTGGCTGAAGAACAATAATCAGTGTCCAGCTTGCAGGATTCCTATCACACCTGAAAATCCCTGCAAGGAAATTATAGGTAAGGACAACTTTCAGCTTTGAACTTTGGAGCTCAGAGATGTCCAGGTTCGTGTGCATTTTTTACCAGTGTTAAGGAAGAAATGACTTTACACCTTTCTAGGAGTGTACAAAACTACAAGGTAAAACTTCCAAGGATGTTGCTTATATTCATGGTTTGATTATTCACAGGCAGCAAGTACCCAGCAGCCCTGATGATTGCTCTTTTAGATCTTGATGGATAATTCGTTTAACTGGAAGAAAGGTGCATCTCACTTCAGATACTCTACCTATGTATTGCAACCTTTTGACCTAAGAGGGCATTATTTAGCTGGGAAATAAAATACTTTGATGCAGAATTTGGAGTGAGCCTATAGTCTTCTTTTCTCTTGTTTTCCCTCACCTTTTTTTTTTGTTTGTTTGTTTGTTTGTTTCCCCAAAATACAGTTAAGTACTGTCTACCTTAATTTGAGGTAGAAATATCAGCCTTGATATCTGGTCCTGTCAAGGGAAAATAAATCTAAACAATTTTACATTACAAATTTGCGTAATTTTGTGCTAAATTAATGTAAAAGTGTTTTTTTTCTACCCACTCACCTTCTTTGAATAGTAGTATATTCAATAAAATAAGATTCTATCAACAAAAGTACAAGTTAGAATTTTCAAATTTTGAGAGGATTTTGACACCTAAACATCATTAAGAGATACTCCTTGTTAACTCCTCTAAAAATGAAAGGAATTTATATTCTGCCATGGTAATTTGGTCCACTGTTCAGCTGTTTATGTGTCTGTGTGCGTGTATAATAGTATGAAAAACACTCTAAGATGGGTAAGTAACATTGAAATGACTTTAAAGGAAACAATATTACTGAGTTTTTATCGTGTGTTGCTTTAGGAGGAACAAGTGAAAGTGATCCTGTGTTTAGTCCAACAGTCAGGAAACACCTGCGTAAAACCAGACTTGAATTACTCCACAAAGAGTATGAGGTGGGTGTGTGAGAACTGTTGTGACCTTTCATGTGAACTACAACGAAAGTTAATAGGTCCAGGAGGTCTCTTTGCTCTCAGGGTTCTAGTGTTGCTTTTATTTTGTATTATTAATAATAATTTATTTTGAGCCAAGCTTGATACTGAACCTACATGCAACTCAGCTGCATTAAAATGGCATCTTCAGGTTGAGGTTAGGAGAGAGGACTTGCTGTTAGTTGACGTGATCCCAATGAAGTCAGCAGTGAAACTCTCTCTAACTCACAGGTAACCAAGTATAGCCAGTATATCCTGAGTAGCATGGAAATTTCACCCCTAGTTGAGATGAGAGGGTCCTCTTTTTACACACACACACACACACACATACACACACATATTTTAGTTTAGTTTTACAAATACAGACATCTTTTGATGTATTCCATGTTACTCAGCAAGGCTACATTTTTGAAGGGTATTGCCCACTAGAGTCTACTATCATAGATTAATTTTTAATTGTTGGTGCTTTATTGTCTTCTGAAAATGACTGAATGCTTGGCCGCTCTCCAACTGAAAAATATTCTCTTAGGAAGAAAGGAGAGGTTGTCAATAAGGTACATGCTTGATTCCTCTTCTCAGCTGTTGTTTCCTTAGCAGCAGCTGTATGAAGACATCCTGTGTTTCTCCAGGACACTTGTCTCATAGCAAGGGGAATGAGAGAAAGGAAACTGTTTTCTTAACAGTGAGGGTGACAGAGCCCTGGAACAGGCTGCGCAGAGAGATTGTGGGGTCTCCTCTGGAGATCTTCCAAACTTGCCTGGATGCCACCCTGTGCCACGTGCTCTAGGTGTCCCTGCTGGAGCAGGGGGGTTGGACTAGGTGATCTTTGGAGGTCCCTTCCAACCTTAAGGATTCTATGATTCTATGAAATGGACCCTATGTATATCCCTACCATTATGGAAGTTAGGGTTGTCTTTTATGCTAGGTGTACCTACAATGCGATTTCTTTCATGGAGGGATCAGGAGAAGAAAGTTTTGTATATTTCTAGTAAGTGACCTTCAAATTCTATGGCTAGGGATAAGATAACATAAATCTCTTCAAAAAGAAAAACCTTCCTGTTTTAAAATGATTGTTCTCGTGTTGGGCGAAAAAAAAAAAAAAAAGTAGTATGATTAATGTAAATATGCCCTGGATTTATGTTAATATCATTATGTGGCTTGCTTGGGCAGTCTGAGCTTGAACAACTCAAGTATCAGCATGGCAGACAGGAAAAAAAGTCTTTTCACCTTTAAACAGGGTGTTTTTGAATTCCGTGCTTCTGTTTGGCTCCCAATTGATGCAGTTAAGAGCCTTGTTCATTGGTCTTCAAGAATTTTTACCTTGGACTTGTTTGCATTGGTGCAGCTGTTACCGTTGAGCAAGCTCTTCCAGGCAGTCCTGCATCCACTTGTAATGTAGGCACTTTCAGCATCTGAGCATAAGATGTTTCAGGGTATTTCTTGCATATCATACCCAATTAACAGCAAATGAATTAGCAGAGGACCCCCTTAAGAGCACATTTTATGCAGGAGATCATCTCAGAGAGCGCCCTAGTAAGTTGAGCCTTGTTGCTGAATACTCTAGAGTTTGTGGTCTGCCAGCCAGTTTGCTCAGGATCCTGCGTGCAGGCGGGGGATTCCCTTCGCTAAAGCCTGCACCGTGTTTCAGCATGTGTGTTGATAACATCCTGCCTGAAGCAGAGCACATAAGCACACGGAACCTTGTGTAAGTAAAGGCAGGCATTTGGGTTTGCCGGAGAGATGGTGCTTCTAAAGTGCTGTGGGAACTTGCCAGTATTGTTTAATTAATCTGACTTGTTATCTTAATTCCTGTGATATTTTAATTTTTGGTGCCTTCAGGATGAAATAGAATCCCTGCAAAAAGAAGTGGAAGATCTGAGGGGTAAAAACCTTGGTTTACAGACACAACTGAAGTCTCTTCTGGATCCTACAATGTCATCCTTATCTTGCCAAAGTGAGGAAACTAGCCAGTCAACAGATGAAACAAGTACCACTGGCCCAGAAACCCTGGAGGAATGGAGCAAAAAGCTGAAAGCTGCCAATGATATATGTGAAAAAGTGATAGATAATGTGGAAAAGTTGAAGGAGGTAATAAATGTGTTTCTTCAGTTGTGCTGTAGCTGTTTCATATTGGTTAAACAGGGATGAGACTTAGCGTGGCCTCTTGCTGTTTCATAGATCCAGAAAGTAGGGCAAAAATTGAATTCCAGTGACCGTCGATGTATCACAGTATTTCCATACAGCATTACCAAATGTCACCTGTTACTGCTTGTTCTGGCGAGTCTTGTATGTGACTCTTCTTCAACTCCTCTGTCACTCTGTGGCTTGATAATTGGATTATGGTAGCACATGTCTCCAGTATTGATGACCAGATTTCTAAGGCTTGCAATAATCTATATAATATATCTATTTTACAGCATTAAGTGGCCAAACATAGTACGATTGGCTGAGGCAGATTTTGCACTATTGCCCTCTCTGCTAGCCGATATTTTCGGTGCAATTTGCTGAGACAGAGTAACTTGCCCCTTTGACCTAAAATAGACAAGCTTCAGCATTTTATGACCAAAAGATCCTTTACTGGAAACCTGCAGCTTTTTATACACCTTAACTGTCTTATAAAGCAAAACTCCAGACTGCAGAAGGAGGGGTGCAGGAGATGAAGAATCACATGAAAATACAACTAAATAAAAATACCTTGCAAAAATCTACCTACAGGCACCAGAAGAATGGCCTCGAACATTGAATGAGAACAAAATGTCAAGGCGAATTTGAAGGGCAAGTGGGAGAAAATTGGACCTGCATTCACTCAAAATTCTATCATTATTTCCTCTGTTAGCAATCTTGGATTGCCTCCTGCAAAAGCTTTATGCATTTAGGATGCACTAGCTGAAAGCTTTATGTATTTAAGGTACCCTAGCTGAAAGATTTATGTGTTCAGGGTACCCTCGCTTTCTTCTATTTCAACTTCTCCCACAGATTCACGGGGCTCTGCCACTCTGTTGTCATTAATGAGATGCCTCTAGTTTTGCCTCTGTGTAGTCTGAAACAGATTCTGGACTTGATTGGACCCCGCTTGATAAACAGGAAAAATAAGTTGAAGAAGCAAACATTTTTAATAAATAGGTTACACTCAGACTTCAACTTTAAAAGTCAGGATGCCCTGTAAGAGCATCCCAGGAGCTTCAGAGTCACATGCAGTTGAAATAAGTATATTCCTGTCTGCTTGGCTAGGCTGTTTTTTTGGGGTGTTTGTTTTTTTTTGGTAGGTGCCTTTTTTTCCTATATTAAACCGTAGTGCCTCTGTTTTGTGGTGATTGGGGTTCCTAACTTTTTCCCTGGATCAGTAAAATAATAATATAGCCCAGGGTTGTTCTGTTTTTTTCCTCAGCGTAACTTGAGCCTTAGCAAAGCAGGGGTTTTATGTTTATGGAGTCTTTGGGTTTGGTTAAGGATTAGATCCAAATAAAGATTTAGATGGGCTTTAGGGACCAAGTCCAAAACTGTGATCCGAGCACTCTCTTCCCATGTGTTTCTTGCTCGGCAGCTGCCCAGTTCTGGAAGTACCTGAAGTCACTTGGCTCTTCTTAACCTTCTTTCGCTTGCGCGCGTGCACTGAACAGCCCTAGTCGGAAAAGTGTGGCAGCCCTTTCCTCTTGCAATCTGATGTGCAACTAGAAACCCTCTTCTCCTTAAAATACCTGACCTGAGAACTTAGAGCATCCATCACTCTTCCCTGTGAGAGAGGGTCCCTCAGAAAATGTGGATGCAGCCACTTTCTTTTGAAAACCAGGCTGGGTGAAAAGCTGGTGGCCACCTTACATCTTTAATATCCGTGGGAAAAGATTCCCAAAGTAAACGTTGTGACTTTGAATTGGGTCAAAGCAAATGTAAAGCAGTGATACAAGCTTAATAATACAGCGAGGGAATTCCCTCACTCATACTCGCTCACTCAGGGTTACCTGAAAGCACCAGCGTACCTGTTGTACCACGGCTGGGGATCCCTTTCAGCGTACTGGCTTAGAGGTTAGAGCACTTGCTGAGCAGGAGGCTGGTCCAGTTCTGCGTCACCAGGTAAAAACTCCGTGACAATGAGACTTCCAAACCCTGGGCTCATTTCCTCGCTCCCATCTCAGTGAGGTTACGAGCCTTGGATCATTGGTGCTGTTTTCAGCTCATGGGGACGGAGCAGACTCTGAAGTGCAAGGAATGTTTTCTCCTTGTTAGGCTGGTGGCATTCGTGGCTCTCAAACACGGCGCCAGGAAAAGTTCCCTTGCTATAAAGTATCTTGTTAACAAGTGTGTTCCCTGAACTGAGAAGAAGGAATTGACCTCAATTCAAGGAGTGAGAAGGGTGGTGAATCAGGAGTCTTAATCATAACATCATGGAAGAAAGTGAAGGAAGACTGTAAATAGCTTGTCATAATGGATTTGCATCCATAGAATAACTATGCTTTAAAAGTAACAAACCAAAAGGGAAGAAAAAAAAGTAATCTTCCTCTAATTTGGGGTGGGGGAAGCTGTTCGACATAGTTTTGCTGATACCTGCACATTGTAATGTTAATGTACTTAAAGTATTTAGTCATGTGGAAAAAAAAAACATGGAATTGCCATTAGTACATCCCCTTAATGACTTTCTGTGCTAACTAACGTGGCTGTGTTTATTTCCCTAGATAGGACACTTGCAGTGTATTTTGGGAATATAAATAAAAAATGTCTGTTCGCTAGTCAGTTTTGCAAGCCATTTCCCATGGTAATTTTTTAAGTGGTGTCCCTGTCTGAGGGCTGTTTCCTGCCTTCACATTTCTAGTTCTGTCTCTTTAAAAAGCAGAAACAGCTTGTCTTATAAATATTAGAAGTCATTTCTGTTTTACTGTATACTTATTTTTTTTTTGCTTTTTTTCCTTAGGCAAATAAGAAACTGAGCATGGAAAACAATAGCCTTTTAAGAGAGAATTTGCGACTAAAAGCTGAAGTTGATAGTAGATCACCCCAAAAGTATGTAAATATTTTAAAAGCTGACATATTTTATTTATAGACTGTTTAACTGTTGTAGGACTCTAACCTAAAATTGTGGGTTGTGTACGTGGTTGTATATGTGTCTCCAAGGTAGACTTTGGTATTTATACTCTCAGATTTGTGATAAATACAACTTAAAGAATAGCAGCAAGTCTTCAGCAAAGGAATATACATTGACTGCAAATGATGTTGTCCTTGTATTATCTAGGCTGTACTAAAGGGCTGCATTTATTGATTGAATTCTGCAATTAACTTTCTTTTGTTCTAGAAGGATTTCTTTTAAAGTGGGTACGCTTTTATCAAAGTGGAAGGCCTGTGAGAGAGTACAGAATTTCTGGCTCCTTCTGTTTGGTCTGTTTTCTTTTTCCTTCTTCTCCCTTTAGCATTTATTCCATGGAATTAATTCTTAATTCAAGGACAGTCCCTGATAACTTTCTGTCGGTCAAGGTTTGAAGAATCAGGATTCTGTAGCGTGAGGACATCACTCTGACAAGTGATGTCTGTTATTAATTTTCTCTCTTAAGCAGTTCAAGCAACAGTGATAGTGACCTTCAAAATGAGCAATTCTGTCATATTGATTACACTTGTGTGCTAAGGTATCATTTATTCGGGATATCTCATGAGAATTTCTCCAGTTTGTGATCCTTACATGATCTTATTTTAGATTTGCATCCTTTGCTCTCGCTGGCTTTCTGCAAGCATAGTCTTCGTGACTCCAGCCAAACTACTCCTGGTTTAGATCTTAGAAAGCTCAGGGCAGTGTTAGCATAAGGTTTATACAGGGCTTTTCTGAGGTGGAGAGGATGACTTTGGTGAGGTGGCTTTTGGGTGTGTGTAGTGTGAGAGGAGAGCTCTCCAGATTTTGTTCTTGCTCGCAAGCCAGTCATTTGAACATGAAATCGGTCTTTATGGAGCACATACTCGCCAGTCTACTCAGCATTCCAAACCACAGGAAGGGACATATATGATCCCTGTGTTACAATGTACAAAGGTGCATTCTGACTGGATGTCCCCAGCACTGCTTAAGGTCTTGGTCATCTAACTGGAGACTAGAAGAGACTAGATCATCTAACTTGATTCTGCTTTACTGAGGTGAAGTAAGGTTCCAGTGGAGAGAATTTCACAATGTCTTCTAACTGGTTCACATTTTACTTCCCAGTTGCCAGAAAAAAAAAAAAAATGTTGGGAAGGGAGGGGATTTCAGACTTCATAATTTCCTCGTCGTCTGCCCATGTAGCCTAGAAGAGTAGCAGATTGCTGTCCTCCTTAGAAATCCCAAATGTTATTGGAAACTGGACAGTGGCAAGGCCTGTTTTGTAACCCAGAGGCCGACTGGATTGGCCCTTCCATATCTGTACTTTTTTTTCCCCTATTTCCAAAATGTTTTTTTCTCTCATCTCCAAAACAAATAGTCACATCTTGCCTACCTGTTGGGAATAGACTCTCACTCATGTTAACTCCAGAGCTGTGGCTGGGTGTTGTTTGGAGGACATGAGCTGAATTGGGCTTAAAGTGGTTCAGGAACAGTTCTAACACTTTAGCTTTCAGAAAGTTGCCTGTCTACACCGTTTCAGCCAACTTCAGCATCAGTCCTGCTCTGAATTCACTGCTGTGTTTGCAGGTGCTCCAGGAATGCAAGTATATGCAAGAAAAAAACTTGTGCCTATCAGATATATTGAGACTCCTTTAGACTCCTTAGGTTCTTCTGGTTTCTGTGGCAGACTTTGATAACTAATATTTTAAAGGTCTTTCGAGTAGGTTTCACACACTGCACAGTGACTGCAATGATTCTCTTTCTTTATCTTGCTTATGAAACCCAGAGCTGAGGACGTTAACATCACTGTAATCAATCTTTCTATGCAGCTAAACCGCAACTAACTGCTCATACAGTTCTTTTTGTTGCACTTCATTCACATTGCTCTGAGCACGAGTGTCAGGAGAAGCTGCTGGGCAGCTTTCTAGTGGCACTGAGCCTTCCTACTGAACACCACAGTGCTCCTGCTTCGGTGTCCTGCAGTCCTCAGCAAACTGCAAACTGCTGGCTGTGGAATCGCGCTTAACCCCGGCCTGCGTAAGTAATACTGGAGTCAATTCAACTGTTTCTGAACAGATTTGTCAGGATTCACGGTCCCATTAGCCCAGGTTGTGGTTCATTTCCTACATAGTGACACTGCCACTAAATGTTGCCACCGAGGATTTCACTAGGTTCTGCTTTATAGCACCAGAAACACTGAGAACAGTCCCTTTGTAGCACAGATTTAACCCCTGACTTACTTCACAGGAAAAATATAATTAGCCTTCTTTGAAGGTCAATGAAAAACTTTCCTTTTATCATGGTCTTGGGTTGTTGTTTTTTCTTTGCTTGTATCCATCAAAACCTGCTGGAAAATGTCACAAATGTCAATAAAATTGACATTGCATCAGTGTCAGGGTTTTTTATTTGTTTTTATATACATTTTTTAATGGACAACCCTAATTCATCAGTTTTTTTTTTCATGAAAGGTGTTTTTTGAGAGAAAAGTTTCTTAGAGACGGTTTCTCTTTGTCTTAGATCAAAACACAGATGTGAAGGCCACAATACTAAGCCCTCTTTCAGTTGGGTTATATGTCTGAAAAGCAAAAAGAAATTAGTTTCTGCTTTGATTCTCACCAGAAACCTGAATGAGTCTGCCAGTTCTCAGGCAAAGCAGAAGGATTTTTTGCCAGATAGCACGAAAACTCCAGAAACTCAAGTTTTGCAGGATCATGAAGGCCTATTACATCCAGCTCTACTTAAAATAGAGAACTGTTAGGTTCATTGGCAGAGCACAATGAATCTAAAAGCATTTTTGGCAAAGGAATATTTGCTTTTTACCTGAAGGAAAATAGCTAGTAAGTCTGTCTACTCCAGGGTATAGTGTATTTTATGAATGGTTAGATTCAAATGAGCTTGAAACAGACTTCTAAGCTTCTTAGGAGGCCTGTCCCTTAATATTTAATTTCTTCTGCCAGTTAAAATCCCAGTCTGAAAAACTATCTATGACATGCAGAAAAATGTTGCATTATCTCTTAGGGTTTGGGGTTTGGTTTTTACTTTTTTTTTTCTTTTCATTCCCTCTTTCTCCATTTTTGCAATTTATACATTTCTTTGATTCGTGACTGCAGTTACCTCCACACCGAAATCCTGTTGACTTTTTAAGTCAGTGTGTATGACATTCACTTTTTATACCTCAATCCAATATTTCCATTCATGCCACCCCTTGTTTCATTCAATCTATATTTCACAGAGTTTCATGGAGCCTGCAAATGAGATTGTGGTGACACATGTCCAGAAGGAAGGAAGCCTTCCCTCTTCCTAGAGGGAAAACTGGTCTCTCCTCCATCTCCCAGCAAGATTGCAGTCCCAAGGGAGGGTTATATTTGAAGACCAGCTGCAGTGGTCTTAGGAAAAATAACTGCTGCCTCCTCCAGCCTTAGTTTCTTTTGCAGGTTGTCTCACTTACACGAGCAAGAGCTACAGTTTGTTCCCTGGTTGGGATTATCAGGTGATTAGAATTGGAGAATGATCTTTCCATGGAATGTCAGCCTGCCCAGTGTCCTGTATATGGTTATACAGGAAAAGTCTGTTTGCTGCCACTGCTTGATGTACACAAAAAATAAATATTTATGTGAGGTTTTGTGGCTTTACGCTAAATCCATATGGAGCTGAGGGCTTCACTGGGCAGACCTGCTATGGCAGTGATCTCTGAAAATAAAGCCTTAAAGCTGAAATAGCAGAAGAGACAGAAGAAGGGAAGAAAAAACTATGGAAGCTGGATCTGCTGTTGGTCAAAGGCTGCCACACTTGAACCCAAGTTCCCACAACTCCCTCTGAGCATCACTATGAGGGAGGAGTCGTGGAGTAATGTGAAAAGGAATTAGTCAAACCATACAGCTATATCATTTGTTCTTCTTTGGTGCTAGATGAGAGCTGATTGCTGAATTTGTGGTTTCTTCTGTCGAGTTGGAACATCGTTGGGGCAAGGAGAAGAACTCTAGCTGAAGAAAGGGCCTGACCCGTGAAGTTCAGTTGCCTGATGAGGGGCACCCAGTGTCCCCATATGGTGTCTAATACATCTGCCCAGGGCTGGCAGCTGTGGTACAGTTCCTGTATGAGCCCTGTGTCCTTCTGGAGTGATAGCTGGAGGCCAGGAGGCAACTAAACACCTGGAACCATTTCCATAAGTCACTAGGTGCCTTATAGCGAATAAGTGCTTATTTTATATGATCAATTTTATTTGTCTCACTTAACTCTTAAGATAATTGTATCATTTCTTACCTGCTTTTTTAAGCAGAATAGATGTTGATTCTCTAATCCTGTGTGGTTAGCTTTGTTAGGAAGGCTCCTGAGTCTGCCTGGTCTAAGAAGAAGGCCCTCCTGCTTGGCCCTTGTCACGCTCCAGTGGCTCCTTCAATATTTTACACCAAAATCCAAATTCCTTTCATTGAAGGAGATAGTAGGTGTTGCTGTATGTGAGGATGGTCATTTCATTGTAACGCCCTTCAGCTGCAGATACCCTGCAAAATCCTTGGATTCCCTGGTTCTGCTCCTTCCTGCCTTTGAGTAGGGGTGGGAGGAGGCCGTGTACAACTTTCCTTCCCTCCCTCTTGCTCACAACCAGAAGTGGAGGAGCCATGGCCGTGAAATTAGAAAACTTGCTGCCAACAGCGTGAGTAAATGAAAGAGGGGCCATCTGCATTGTTGTTATTGCTGGGGGAAAGGGATTTCCCTCTTCTCCTGGTAGGATTCCAGTGCAACCAGCATCTCGGAGCAAGCAGGCTGGGGCTCCTGCACCTCAGATCTGGTCACTGGTGTCCAACCTGCTCAGGGGTCATGATTCTCCTTCCTCCCCTGTTCCCAATAGGAAGCCCAGAGCAATTTCCTGTTGCTTTGTGGTCAGGAGCTGAAGAAACAGAACAATTTGCTGGAAATCCAGACACGGTTTTGTGGCCGTTTTGCAGGTAGTAGTCACAGGCCACGGGGCCCGCAGACCTCTTTGGTCTGAGTGTTGCAGTAGGAGCATACTGAGTTGGAATGAGCGATGGAATTGGGGAAGTTGTAGGGAGAAGGGAGGGAAAATTTCCTCTGACTTTGAAGGGAGATAGAGGTAGACCAAGAAACAGGAGAGAAATGCGAGGCAGTCCTAGTGCTGAAGGAGTGGATAGAAACCTGTGCTGTCACATGGATTTGCAAGGTGGAAAGTGGGGTTTAGCGTAATCCCACCTAAGGACTTGTCATTCCTCTGTGATACAAACACCAGATGTGTCAGAGTTTTAGGTTGGCTGCAGTTTCCTTCCTAATAATACCAGAACTTTAATTGTTTTTTTTTTCTTTCCATAAATTGAAAGTCTCGGATGGAGCAGGGAATTCCCTCGTGCCCAGCTGTCAGTGGCAGGTTGGAATTAGTCAGGGCATGTAGCTGAAACCTTCACCTGCCCTCTGGGGAAGGTCACTCTTGAAAGCTGGAGGAGGATGGGGAAGATGAGGGCTGTATCTTTGCAGCTGAAAATGTGCTCAGGCTGGAAGCCACACAAACAGCACAACCTTTGCAAGCCACAAGCAGCATTTTTTGTTTCAGAGTTGAGGAAGAAATGAGCTTGTTGCAGGTGTAAGGCTCAAAAAACAAGTAACTCTGAAATCTGTGGAAATGCCACCCATGTGGTGGTCAGGGAAAAGCTGTATGTCTAACGGGAGTGTAATTGAAATGGTCTACATAAGTATTTAAAACCACCACAAAGGACTCTTGCAATTTCAGAATTTCGTATTGGCATTTTGTAGTTGACAAGGTGACATTGGGTAAGAAATGTATTGTAAAACACTGCTGTAGTGTAGGAAAATGATTGAATGTAAATATTTCAAGATGTGGACCACTGTTCAAATGTTATCATAAATCTTTGCCATTGTTTTAGGGGATAATTCTTCATGCATATTTGAGTTGAATTGATAGAACCAGCCCCTGGAAGGGTAATCTGCTTGTTATTGCCTTACTACCTCTAATAGTTTAATTTGGGCTTTTCAGGTATTCGCCCCCACCTATACATTATATATGATGATTTTTTTTTTCTTTCATAAATAGCGGCGATGTGCAGTGCTGGTTCTTGTTTTCAAATTAGCACTATGTACAGCAGCAGTGTCCTTGGAAACGAGCTCAAAACATGCCTAGAGGATCCATCCTTTCCTGATTTGGTGTCTTCTTTCCCTTTGCAGGTTTGGTAGGTTTACGGTAGCCGCCCTTCAGTCCAAAGTGGAGCAGAGCGAGCGTGAAATGAACCGCCTGAAAAAGGCGCTGGAGAGAAGCGACAAGTACATCGAGGAGATGGAGTGTCAGCTGCTGCAGCTGAAAAGCGCCGGCGAAGGGACCCGGCCCGCGAGTGCCCTCGGCCAGGGAGCTCTTCCCACAGAGGCCAAGGAAGCGGAGAGCGTCGGGGAAGACTCGGGCCGCTTGGAAAGCCGGGTCGAGCGCCTGGAGGAGGCGGCCTTGGCTGCCAGGGAAGGTCCTGAAAGCCTCGAGCAGCTCGCGGGCGGGGGGACATGTTCAAGCTCTTCCAGTCAAGATGGGTCCAACGGGTCACAGCCCCAGGGTGCTCCGCAGAAAGAGCTGTTTGCAGGCTGCCAGGGTGTTCTCCTAGATGAAGGCACTACCAATATGGATGCCTGCTTGGAAGGGCAGTGGAATAAAATAGAGGAATGTGCCCCGTTTAAGGATGAAGAACTTTATGAGCTTCCAGCGCCGTGCACCCCTTTCCTGTCTCTTAGTCGCCTGCAGTTGAACACTCCTGATGGGAAGGAAAACGCAAGGAAACCTTCGTCCTTTCTGAGAAAACTGAAATTTGAAGAGTTCTGTGACACCTCAGATGACGGCAGCAAAGATGCCCCGGAACACAGCACAAGCAGCTGTAACAGTGAGAAGAAGCTGAACTGTTTTACCACAGGAAAGTCGGGTTTTTGGGGGACCTGCCCAGCAAACTTTGCTGAGAACTTAGATTTTGATGAATCAGAAGAAAATACTGTAGCTAGTCAGTCAAATGAAACCCCAGCAAAGGCCAGCGATAAAACAAGTTCATGTTTACCCAAAAAGCTACATGCTCTCTGCGCTTCCGAGATGAACCGCACGAGAACCTCCAGCGAGGCCTCCATGGACGCTGCCTACCTCGATAAAATTTCCGAGTTGGATTCAATGATGTCCGAATCAGACAACAGCAAGAGCCCGTGCTACAATTTTAAGTCCTCGGAGCTTGATAATTCTTCAAAGTCAACGGAGTGCTCTAAGCTTCTGAATGAAACTGAGAAGAAAGTGGAAGAGATGGATGAGGAGCAGAGTATGAAGAGTCCAGAGGCAAGTGACCCACCGGGTGACAGAACTGGCTGGAAACCTACCATGTTTTCCATTCTCTCCCCATCGGACATGGATATGAACGAGCACTTCCCGCTGTTTGCAAGCCAGAACGTAGCGGCTGATGACATGAAACCTCCAAACTGCCTGTTTCAAAGGGAGTTTTCCCAGAGTTTACTCTTCAGCAACTCACAGAGGCTGTTTGAGGAACACAAGTTTGGTTCCTGCTTTTTAAAGACTGACCTGAACAATCAACTTAACGCGCCTTGGGTTTCTCCCTTCATTCCCGAAAGGAAAAATAAAAATACGAGCCAGTCAACCAAGAGGAAAATTCAGAGCGGCCTTTCTAGTGCCAGTCCCTCCAAAACTACCAAAAACTGATTCTGCTTGGAAATAAAACGTGACTCAGAATTGTCAACCTGCGAATGCTTAGGATTTCCCAAGTGAACTTCATTTTTAATGACTTCCATGCAACCTGGTCCTGTCTTTTTTGACCAAGTGAAAACTGAATGTTCCCTTTGCCCTGCTAAGCGCTTTCCTAGGGCAGAACCATTCCAGATTCTTTTCTTTGGCACGGCATTTTGTTTACTTGGATATATGGGGTTTGGGGGTAGGTAAACTGAGCTCACATCTGGAAGTTTAACAGCTTCCTTAAATAGGACAGATTTAAGTGCTCTTGTCACATCAGTCATTTATGTAGGGGAAGAACTTGTTTTAAAGGTTATGCTTCCCATTCCTGAAGGTTACGTGTCCTGCGTGCCAGCCACGTGCTGCCTATACTGACTTTTCATGAAACTGCTATAAAACACTGTCAATTTTGCCATAAAACCTGTCTCCCAGAGAAAATGTTGCTGCTTAGACTGTTTCATAGCACTGTACTGTAAGGGAACTCTTGTTTGAAGTAGGTAGAAGGTAGCAGTCTCTTTCTCTTCGGGGTTCCAGCACTTGGGTTAGAAAATGTCTCTTCTTTAAGATTGCAAACATGGCTTGTATTTTGGGGAGTTAAGCACAATTTTTAATTTTGTTCCCCCAAGGCGTTCCTATGCCGAGCGTGTTCAGTTTGCCTGTATAGAGGGTAAAAATGGGTTTGTATGCTAATGACTTGTTTACCTAATGTGCACTGAACATTTTACATTAATACTGTACCATTTTACATTAATACTGCATGCTTTTTTATGTGAATTGAATAAAAGATGTTACAAGCACTGTAATCCTTGCTGTTGCCTCAAATATTGAATTAGCCCAAGAAGAATTGGGAAACTTCCTCTCTTTTTTTGGTAATTTTGAAAATAGCAAAGTTTTGTAAGATGTAAATGTGAATTTATTCACACACACACACAAAAAGTCAGATCTTCCTTTCTCCTCCTCGCTGGACATATTGCCCTTCTGGAGGGCAGCTGCTGGAACTGGCTTTTAGTGGCTCTCCTATAATGTACTGCATAGCTCAACTTAACGGGGTGGCCTGGTACAGGCAGGAGACCGAATTCAGCAGCAAGCAGAACTGGTGTCTTTGTGTTATTGTGCTTAAGGCTTTCTAAGGGCGTATTTAATTGTAAGGTACGGGTTTTCCTGTCCGTATAGGCCTTGATGGCACTTCTTATGAACAGGCATCCGTGATTCATCCGTAGGTGTGACATGGAAAAGCCATGCGCTGCCTCTCGGCGCCTCGCGGACAGGGGCCGATCTCTTGGAAAGCTGCCGTGGACTCGGCTCGTGTTTTGCAGGCACTTTGTGGTACGTGCACCCGTGGGTGCAATCTGCTGGGTCCGTTCTGCGCGGGGACTGCAGTGTTTTAAGAAACAGCTTTGCCAAAAATCCCACATCCATGCCACGAAAGCACGCACCCTTTCCTGGTAACAGGCTTTTTCCATATGGCTTCCAATATCCCATGTGGACTTTAGTCTTCACAGAAGTCTCATCATTCTCCTTTTGCTTTTTCAGAAATTAAGAAGCCGACTGAACTGTCTGCGCACGGGCTGCTACGTGATTTGTCTAATCTCTTCTAAGAAGCCCAAAGAAATGTGTTAACCTCAATCCAACTCCTTGGGAGGTAAGGAGAAGGGATGAGGGAGCCCCAGACTTCTCTCAAAAACTTTCTTAGAACATCCTTAACGTCGCAGAACAACCACAAAGATGAATCTGTGTTAAGTGCTGTGGTTGCAGGAGGGTTTCGCTGGGGTGGGCGATGCCCCTAGGGCTGCTCTGGGATGAATCTGCTTCACAAGTCACTTTCGTTGATGAGAGCAGGAATAAAACTGGTATCAAATGAGAATAAAGGAAGATTTTTTAAAAAAGTCACTTCTTAGTCTTTTTGACAGGAAACGCCGCCTACTAGTTTACCCTGCAATGCGAATATTGTAACTTGGCATGTCGTGTGGATGGATGGATGAAAGAAAAGCCAAAGGTTTAAACAAACAAACAAGCCCTCTAAACCCTCCACTGCCTCCGACCTCAGCGGACGACACACGGAGTGCGTCTGGTAGCATCCCCTGCTGTGAATGGGATCATGTTGGGCGACTTGCGAAGCCGAAACTGACTGACTTCTTGTATATCAGCCTCGCTTTGATCGGCATTTTTAATTTGTCTTCTAAAGAAGCACCTTAAAGAAACTGCCACATTTTCAGTTCTAATATTTTTCTGGTTAGAATTAAGAGTGTTAAATACGATTGTTTTTATGATAGTTACGCAGTAATGTGCAAGAAGTGGAATATACAAGAGCTAAAATTTCACTAGACGCTTTAACACAGTAGTAGTTAGATGATTCAAGGTGATGTATATGTGCAGGTGTGTGATATGTGATGTCAGATGGTATGTAATGGCTCGTGACATGTTCACGTACCACTTACTGGGCTCAATACCAGGCAACTCCCAGATGTCAAGAAGAGCAAGCTCTCTCCAGGAGAATTTGGTGATGCAGCAGCGACATTCCAGCCCTTTCCCATAAAGTCTGCTGGGCTACACCTAAGAGTGAGACTGTAAGGGTCAGTTTTCCACTTGTGAATTCTTGTCTTTTCTGAAAGCACCTTAAAAATAAAGAGGGGAAGAGGTCGACATGTTGCTTGCACACCCCATGCAAGGTGTGCTGACCTGCACCTCTCTTCGTTCCCCTTTCTCTGTG